AAAAAAAAAAAAAAAAATCCATATATAGAATGTAATTTACGGGTTAAAAGAAATGGGCTAGCATGCTATAGCAAGACCCAGAGGAGGGCTGGGGCTATAGCTTGGGGTGGACCACTTACCCAGCGTACTCCAGGCCATGAGTTCAATCCCCAGCACCACAGAAGAAAGGAGAAAGACATTAATGCACAGTGCTAAGCAAAAGCCATCTGAGAAGGCTCGGTACTATGGGATTCTCAAGACATCACATTCTGGAAAAGGCAAAACTGAAGACAGTGTGAACAGTGGTTGCCAGAGATCTGGGGGAGCTGAGGAGGAGTAGGTGGGAAATAGGATTTTTAGGGCACAGAACACTACACTGTCATTGTAGGTACACATTTTACACATTTGTCAACACTTACAAAACAGTTCTAACCATACCTGCAGTCCCAATTTTCTGGCTGAGGCAGGAGTATTGCCATGGGCTCAAGGTCAGCCTGAATTTACACAGCAAGGTCCTGTCTCAAAAAAAAGTAAAATTGCCTCCTCTTGTCCAGAACTAAATTGTTATATTTGTTGTTGTTTTTTTTGTTTGTTGTTTTGGTACCGGAGATCAAACTCAGCACCTTGTACTTGTGAGGTGGGTGGTGGGACCACTGAGCTAAGTCCCCTGGCCCTTGTTTTTTTATTAAAACAAGATTTATTTAAAAAGCCATAAGACACTGTCACATTGGGCTTTTCTTCCTTTCTTTCTCTTTCTTTCTTTTCTTTTCTTTTCTTGTACCAGGGATTGAACTCAGGCCCTTGTGCTTGCGAGGCAGGCGGCAGCACCCCTGAGCTACGTAGGCTGGGCTTTTCACGCAAGGCTTGCTGCACACTACACGGGGAGCATAAAACAAATTGATTCTGAAGCATAGCAAGTAAGAAAGGAAACAATGAAAGCAAATTTCTTTTAATGGAAACTCAGAACTAAACTTCAGAGGGACCTAACGTCATAACTTCCACTCGGGGGCTTGATGCAAAAGATTTAGTTTGAACGGCTCTGAGCAGGTGGCAGGAGCCACCTTCCAATGATTCTTCAGCTGTTCACCACCTGTTGGGGGTAAGTTGCAAATGGAATCATTTAGTGCGTCTGTAGTTCTTTTGATGACCACCTCGCCCGGATGCTTTTCCATAACCACTCTGCTGGACGAGCGCCTCCTGCAGTCCTCCCCTGGACTCCGCTGCTGCCGGCGGTAGTACTTACTGCTCCTTTGACACCGCTGCTTTTATTTAACATCTACTAAGTCCAACATCGTGGTATCACTTCTCCATTATCTTCCTCACTGGTTCTTCTCCCTTAAAGGGAATAAAGCAGAGTCCACGCCTCTTGTTGGTTCTGTTGTCCACGAGGGGCTCTGTGGACCCCACCTCACCAAAACCGCCAAAGCACTCCCTCGCTTTTGCTTCAGGTGTACCTGGAGAGAGGCCGCCAACAAACACTGTTCTAACAGGCTCTTTCGTTTTCCCGCTTTGGGCCCTTTCAGGGTTGGTCACCTTCCCCTCATGTTCTTTCTGACCCATGACCTTATGTACACCCGACTCCCAGCAGCACACAGCCAAAGCCCGGTGACCGCCCTGGTAGGCTGTAACTGGAGAGTGCACTCTACAGCTTCACCAGGCCTGGGAAGGTAGTCCCGGAGTGGCCCAGCTAACGCCTCCTATACACGTCTTCCTTCACAAAAGTGGTCGGGGTTGTGCTACCTCCAACACCCAGCAGCATCGCGGTGCCCTCAGTGGGCACGGAGAGCGCGACCATGTCCTCACGCGGAGCACTCGGCACTGCCCTCCCAGAGCACAGAACTAATTTGTTGTTGAGCCAGGGTCTGGCTCACTATGTAGCCCAGGCTGGTCTCGAACTCACAGCAATCCTCCTGCCTCAGCCTCCTGAGTTCTGGGATTACAGGCGTGCGCAGCCATGCCTGGGTGCTAATTTTAAAATTATTCTTATATGATTTTTGATGAGCACTTTAGAGATTAAAATCAATATTTCTAGAAATCTAGTCGTGGATGTCTCTGTAAGTGTTGTTTGCTTTTATTTTTGTTTGTTTTTAAACCTTCGTCTTCCATATTTCACTCAAAATATTTATATTATAACCATCTTTTACGGAAACCCATCTTACTAGTTCTAGTGATTCTGGATTTTGCATCAAAACAAAAAATAATTTTTTAAAAGGCTGGGGCGCAGCTCAGTGGAAAGTCCTTGGGTTCCGTCCCGACTCAGTCTGTTGTGTGGCCCCAGCGCCCTCGACTCCTCGCACCGGTGCTGTCTCCCAGGGTCCTGGCGGCGGCCAGGCTTGGGGTGTACTTCCGTGGTACAGTGGCACGGGGTTCAATGTCCGGTACCGGAAAAATGGTCTTTAAGTGGTGGGAGGAGCGGCCAGAAGAGTGGGGAGAGCGAGCTGTGTACCAGGAAATGAGAGCCGTGAATGTGACGGCAGGAGCCCATGTCTTCCTGCTGGAAAACACGCAAAGGCAGCGCTGTTGGGCCGAACTGGAGGGACTGCCCTGAAACAACGATTTTCGTAGGTTTGACCAGTGCATGTAGAGGTGGACACGCGTGCTGTGTCTGTGTCGCGTTGCCCCGCGCTCCCGTC